CAACAATTGGATACATTTATATGTATATTATCATATGACAATGACTCAGGATACATCGAGGGGGGAAGCATAAGACTTAATTCGCATCATCTGTGTGCAAAGTTCATCTTTGTAACCTGTTCTTTAGTGGTAAAATGTTCTACAAATGCCTGACACATTACTGATATTATCTACTTTAAGGATGGGCACCTCCCAAACGATTTAAAAAATTGATTTTCTTCTTCGATTTTCTTAAAGTTTCAAGTGTGTAGAATGTTATGTCGAAGTGATATTTCGAAATTCGAACATTTAGAGCGACCGAAGGTGAAGTTTCAAGAATCTTACTTTATCAGAGGGAAACGTTATCTTAAAACTTCTTTTATGTTTTTCTCGAAACTACATTTTTCGACCCGACCGTCACGAGATCTCTGGAACTATACATCCGATTTACTTCAAATTTTATGAAGATATTCTGCAATGTAGCATAAGACACGTTAAAGTTTTTTGTTCAAATGTAAACGAAATAAAATAATTAAGTAAGACATATTAAATTTGTTTATTCAAAAATAAACAGAATAAAAAAATTGACAAATTTAATGTGTCTGATTCGATAAATGCAAAGTTAATTATGCTTGAAAAGAAGTAGGAGGCGCAGTAATGGGCTACCCCACAGAATTTAGCTCCACTACCTTACTCGAAACTAAATTCCGGTAAGTGTTCGAGTACTCGAGGTCGGCGGTGGTGTATTTACGTGGTCCCATTTGCATGGTCCACCCTATGTAGAAACGAAGTTGCAGTACTTGGCGGTAAGATGACGAATGAGGTGAGAGATGACGAAGTGCTCAACTAACGCAATTAACCTGCTGAAGGCGGTAGCGGCGCGGCTGGTTGGCAACCTATTAAAAGCATAGTAGTAACTGTGTAATAAGATCCAGGCATATCCTATAATTACCTGCGCTGGTAAAAGGTCTCCGCGTAGACGATTCACTGAAAATTAGAGGAATCTGATTACGCGTTCGTATTCACGATTCGAAGTCCCTCCACTGACGTGCACGAGGCTGGATTGCTGGAAAACCATCTTTGAAGTAGTAATTAACTATTGAACTGATAAGCATTGAAATAGAAATGCCACGACGTACTTCGGGTAAATAAGTTGCATAACTTCGATGAAATTATGGATACTGATATTAATACTTTGACGCTCGGGGAATATTTTTAAGAATGGAGTTCTGTTAACGCTAAAGTTATCATCGTCAGTTAACGAACCGCAATAAGGATGCTTTTATGGAAAATGATTGAATTTCTTTCTTTTATCGTGTATTATGATAAATGCGGATGAAATTTCCAAGATAAAAATTGTCTAAGTTAATTGTAAGAAATACAAGTTAATGCCTCTCCTCTTTTAATGATTGTAACAAATTGAAAATAATGTAAAATTATCTTCAAATTCTTCGAATGTGTTTATTCTTTTGTGTTTGAGCCATACATACATGGATCACAAATTATAATATTGTCGTTTCTTATAGAGCAACATTTTTAGATGCGTTATCAGTCAGTATAAGTTATGTTGAACAAGTTGCAACAACAATTAAAAAATTCAAACAGTTGCAGAAATGTGGTTTAGATACATTTAATAAACGAAGACTTTATTTGGAGAATATAATGCTATTAATAAATGTATCTAAACCACATTTCTGCAACTGTTTGAATTTTTAATAAAAGATATATTGTTTTTAGCTAGTTTATTAGTTTCTACAAATTCAAATTCATGTGCAGGTTATAGTGTTATAGGATTAGTGTTACACGATTACAAAAATATGTACGCCGAGACCAAAAATATTTTGTTCTCGATACTTTTGTACTCGTCACAATAATTGCCCCATCGAAACAATCTTTTTCTTTAAATTCTGTTCTGTTAAGATAGGGAATGATAAGCATGATCGCTTAAGCACCACGCGAGAGATATGATTCGTGCCTCCAACAATTAACGCTAGTTGCGGCAATATTCGCGCAAACGTGTTTCTGCATCATGTGTACCGTAATTTCAGGCTCGATTTAAAACGATCCGGTAAATTGTGAAATACAACGGAAGAAAGGGTCCATTGAAAAAAGTGGAACGATCGGAAATTGTTCGCAAACGGTATAACGTCCATGCGCGTCCATGAAATATACATGATGACGTCAGGCGAGCGTGACCTAGGAAGTCTCCGAGGGATGATTTGCATGCTTCACACCATGAAGTGTTATTTAACGGAGCATTTCGGTAATATCGGGGCCGAATACCAACGCAGAGATGCATTAATGCAAACAGTCTGCCGTATCGGACAAAGAATATCGTTGCCGGCGAATTCAGCTTCTAAAATATCAAAGTCGCGTCAAGACGAAGAGAAACGACCGCAGAATTTCGGTTTCTAATGCATGTATGATAAGGAAAATTTCATAAATCCGCTCGGTTATTGCGCCCTTTCAGATTTTTCCCAGGAATTTCCATTACGCTGGACTACGCGAGGACCCTCATAAAATCAGTTCCTTCCTTCAATTTCCACAGTTCACAGTATTTCTCGAAGTTACTAAATGCCACGCACATAATATTTCGCGCCAACGGCTGTACGGTGGGAAATTACAATTTCATGAATTTGAAATCTGTTCCGGCAGCATCTTTCCGGCAACTTTACGCGGGATTTCAGATTCTGTTTCTCAATGTACGCAACAGCTCTCGCGAAATACTGACTGCATCGATCTCTGCCATATGAAGCCATCGAGTAGTAATAAATATTTTCTTCACGCAATTCTAAATCGAATGTTTGAACTTGGAAGCAGTATCGATGAATTTCAATTACTACAGCCATATTTTTATTCTTGATTATGGACATTTGTATAAAGTACCATTTTAATAAATTATACGTAGACAGCAGATCTTGACAGCAAATCTGTAAAATGCAAGAAAACATGTAAATCAACAAAAATTGATAGAATTGTTACTACATTTTTCGAACGGAGAATCTTTTAATTGATGAAAGAAACTTTTGTCTAATTCTGATCTTTTTTTAAACAACATATTGAAATGGAGATCTGAATAAAAATTAGCAGCCTAATTATAACTCTCGAATAAATTCACCCTAACTTTTCATTGTACGTTTTATCGTATCGTCAAATTTTTTGAAATTATTGGAATGTAAACAATTAATTAATTTATTGAATCCAATTATATTTCAGTTATAACAGCATTTGGATGAAACTAGTTAACCGAAGGGAGAAGTTATTATACTATGCTAACATTAGTATGTTCATGGTAGCAGTGAACGATTTACTATTTCTTCAAAACAGAATGTCAGCTCTTAACAAACCGATCCTCATTAATATTCGTCATTGTTCTCTAACTTCCCACGTTATTTGAAGCATACGAGCCAGATGATACATAGAATGTAAACTGTGAACAGTGGATGATGGATTAGTACGACTAATGAACAGCTTGTCAATCTTTGTGAAAGTTTGCATGCACTCCACTTTGATACACACGTTTACAGATGACATGAATGTTCGCTATGTACCAAATAGTTTCTATTTGTACAGAAATATGATTTACCAAAATTCAACGAATATTTATCAAATAAAATTGGAACCACAACTAAAAATGTTTAAATCTTCGACAAATATGTTTTACTGCATGCTTTTATTTGCGATTCAAAGTTAACGTAACGAGCAAATATACAAGCTTCATGGTCTATATGCAGGAACTTTAATGTTGGCTATGTAAACAGCTATTTGTAAGTTTACAGCCTTTAAAAAACTTCCCTCCTAAAGGCTATTTATAGCGTAATTATAACTTCAGCCCGGCGTGGGCGTAAGTTTTCCTTAGTGTGCAATATTTTGAATAAAACGGGTACGTACTCAATTAACAACAAGATCCATTCGCTGTAATAGGAAATGGTGCTCCAAACTTTTGAACGACAAAGTACATAATACGTATATGTGTACTAATAAGGCTTCATTTTACATTTAACTACCATCTCCACAAGTTACTAATGAAAACATTTTTTATGTTAACGATAAAGGCAAATGTAACAATGAAAACTAGTTTATATACAACTGACATCTTTGTATGTTAATAATAACAAACTTTGTTATTAATGTGATGAAGATAAAAGTAACATTGAAACTCCTCTTGTATAATATTATCATCTTTACTAGTTAATAGTAATAACATTTTGTTATTAACGAGAAAGGCAAATGTAAGGATAAAACTCGTCTCGTATAAATAAAATATTAATACATATATAAGGGTGCTTATATTTTGATACGATAGACAATGAAAGAAATTCAACACTTATTTGGGGGAGGATCCGATCATCTTCAAGCATTGACATAATTTTTGTGATAATCTCTGTTAATTACATTATCTAGAGTATTGAAAATGATTATCTAGAGTGAGGATCTTTATTCAAAATAAAAACTTTACAACACGGTTATAAGAATTATAAATCGAATAAGAATAAATTGTTCCTTTTAATAATTTTGATAAGACGAAAGCTATAAATTTTCACCACAAATGCATAAAATCCGCAGTCTAATTCTGCACTCTATCATATTCAACTTTTATATTACTTTTTTGGATCAATATACATATATTATTATTTATTTGATAAGAGAACGGAAGCATTTATTGTTTCACCTAACACACGTATGATCAAAAAATAAAATAGCTAACAATTAATCCTTATAGCAAACAACTTTTATTATTTATATTATAAATAACCCTGATATAACACTTTTTTATACAAAATGTGACGCAGAAGAAAAATTTAGATGAAAGAGTTAAATGACTCACCCTGTCTTATAGCTCTGCTGCCTAATCCCAAAAGGTCATCGAAAGAAAACCGAATCGCAAATGAGAAAGATTGTACATCGGCTTTTTTTAGCGAATCCGAACGTCCCATCATGTGGCGAACATAGGTAGCTCTAGGAGTTCCCCTACGTTGATTAGAACCGCAGTTCTTCACTTCCTCCTGTTTTTGTTGCAGGGCCCGCATCACCGTTGCCAGATCTGGCAGGATACAGTCGTTGCGGGTACGCGCTCGTCTTGAAGGGGTTGGTTTTTCCTCAGTGGAAGAGGCGACCCTTGGCTGTCATCGGATCCAGGCTCTTCCTTTATCCGGGTAAGCGTCCTACTCGAGATTCTGCCAATCCTCGCGGCCTTCCACGAGGCAAGAAGCAGTCGGTAAGAATAGAGCCTAAAGCCTGTCGAACAAGGGAAAAAACGAATCGGGAACGTCCGCCAGCTTTATCTCCCCCTACCTTACTTCTTGCGGTCGCAATTATTGAAACGTATATCATCGTGGTAAAGATCGGGAGAAATAGGATTTGTTCAAGCGTTACGCGATGCAGACCGTATATTATGTGCTTTCTCTGTGGTCAGGCGTTTTCGCCTTTTAGAAAGTCACTGCAGCTTTTTAAACAGTTAACTCACTCGTGTTGTTTAATTTGTGGTATTTATGAAAATTTTGATTTATCATAATTTTTATATGATTTATAAAATAAATATATAAAGCAAGTATAATACTGGTATTCATATAATACTAACATAATATAAATCGTAAAAGTGATATAAAAAATAGATGTTTCTTGTATTACATAATACATTTTCAGTTTCATATTGTTTAATTTATAGTGATTGTGAAAATTTTGATTTACCTTAATCTATCTAGGATTGTTTATAACATGAGTATAATATAATACGAACCATTAAAATGCTATAAAAAGTAGGGATTTCTTGTATTATACTTTTAGATTTTAGTCAGCACTTTTTGCTATAACAAACACCATTTGCTATAGCAAATACCAAAAGTGACTGGAATGTTTTGTCTTTCAAAAAAGTAGCAAGACTGAATTTATTTAAATTTCGTGCGATCTTTATTACAATGTGCTTGAGTAAAAATTGAAACATTTCCTATAAACGCATCTTTATCATTTCAGTAATTGTAAAATGAAAAAAGAGATTCAGGTTTCTTGTTATTTCCAGTGATCTTCTTTGTAGAATTTCTTCATAATTTATTATTTAATATAAAAATCTAATGTGAGTTGCTTGTCTTGAAATCTGTGAAGTGCTTGTCCGTAGTTGTTAAACATATGTGCGAAGCCTTAGTAACAACCATAGATCGATAACAAGCTATTACATTTTTAAACTGTAGATCTTGTTGCCAAATTAAATTTTTCTTGAGTAGAAATAAGAATCAGACAAAAATTTATTTCTTTGGCTAAAGATTTATAATAAACTCAGAATAAAAAATTAGTTACATTTCACTTCGTCATTTTTTATAATACATGCATTAAAATTGCAGTTTGCTTAATAACCTTCTAATAAACAATGATGAATGAAAGTAAATCTTTGTATTCCTGAAACAAATGTTTGCAAATGATCTTAAGTTATCTAGAAACAATAGCACGTTACGAGAAAGTACCTTTGAAAATCACACTACTTCCTCAATGTTTGAGCGCTTTGATCAGTTAGTAACTATAACACTTTCTTTATACGTTTTGGATTGAAATCTTTTAAGTCTTTGCGAATTTATTCATTCCTAATGCACCGTTCGAAACGTACCTTCATTCCAAGAATGATTGCTTGGACTAGTTTCGTCTTCAACATATTGCTCCCCAGGAAATAAGAACGAAATGAAAATGTTTCCTGTTATTTTTCTTCTGGTAAAGATTGCAATTCTGAATATAAAAATGGGTCACATTATTCTGAGAGATTGAAGCATCGTGTAATAATTTGCACTATTATTACATATTTCATAAAATATCTGTAGTAAAAAATAGCAAAAAAAAAATGACATTAAAAGTGAAAAAGCATAACAGAATGAAAAATATGAAATAATATGAAATAATAATATGAAAAAATATGAAATCGTTCCTGGAAGAAAAAATTCTGCTACTGTATGAGAATGGAACGATAATTATACGAAAATTACAAATATTTCTTCAACGTTGTAGAAGTTTCTATGATTTTCGGTTGATAAAAATCCGCAGAATTTATATTTTTATTTCTTTGTGCTCCGTGTACCTTCGGAACCATCGTGTAACTTTGTCATTTTCATCTAACGGTTGAAACTTCCATAAACTCATTTCTAGATAGTTCCCAGTTATAAATCTCGTTCTTTCTACCCATCGACTCTACTTCCTTCGATTGCTTCCTCATTCCAACTCTCCGCGACTTTTATACCTCCAGCTTCCCGCGAGAACAGCCAGGACCGTATCTTCATTTCATAGAAAAACAAACCGGGAACACAGTAATCGAGGAAATTGAAAGAAATCTATTAGTACAGTTCCAGATTTGTTTGTTAAATAAAAAGACATACGTGCGGTAATTTATGCAATTAACGAAGAGAATAATTCGAAATGTTGTAATTTGTTTATAGCAATACTGTTTTCATATTATTGATTGACCTTTGACTTGAAAGAAAATAAAACTTGCGTA